GGTGCTGTGTGTGTGGGGTCACACACCTGTGGTTGTGGTGCTTTCAGAACATGCATGCTGGGTTGTTGTGACCCATACTTGTTCATGAGGACTCCCACTTGGCAGTAAGGGGATGTGTTGGAAATGATTTTTTTTACCTCATGCCTGCAAGATAGTTGCTCTGCAATGAAGCTACATTTAGCACCATGTTTCTTTCTTTGTTTGTTTTTTCAAGTGGGGGGCCACACCCAGCAGTGCTCAGTGCTTACTCCTGGCTCTGCATTCAGGGATCACTCCTGGTGGGCTCAGAAGACCATGTGTTTCCAGGGATTGGTGTTTCAAGACAAACAACCTACCCACTCACCTCTGGGCCCAGGACCACATTCTTTAAACACAGTCTGTGCTCCACTACTTTTGCTTCAATTACATGTAATATATACATATAATTAACATGATAATACATATATATCTTATATTATATGTTTATATTACTGTAATATATCTTAATTTTGCCCTATAATTCATTGGGACTTGTTTATCTTTTCAGTATTTTCTTTATGTTCTTTAGAATAAATAATTATTATAGTTCTGTGGTTTTTTAAATCAGTTTTTATTGCTGCATAACAAATTACCCAGACTTTGTGACTTAAAACAACTTAACTCACAGTTTCTGTGAGACACAGAATTTCAAAATATCTGAAATTCTGAGTTCTTGTTTTGTTTGGGGCAGGTCTCTTAGGAGGTGTGGGGGGTGTGTCACAGTAACTTAAGGTGTGATTGCATCCAGGGCATCTGTTCCCATTGAAACCTGATCGTTGCTCTGCTCAGGTTTCTCTAAGAGTCTCTGCAGAGGCTGTCTAAGAATCTCCATGCCATAAAGTTGGCTTCCCTTGGAACGCTCAGTCCGAGACACCATGGCAGACTCTGAGATGCTTTTGTGACTTGGGAAGTCACACACCTTCCCTCCCACCATATTCTGTGTGTCATTTGAGTTAACCCATATTCAGTTTGGGAGATGAGCTCAGAAGGCTTGCAGGAAACAGAAGATCAGGATCACTGGGGAGATTTAAAGACTGATGTTGCGTCTATCTTCAGCTCCACCCAACATTCACGCTACAATTTGCACTCTATAAGCCATTTGGATAATTTTTTTTCAAATTTCAAAAAATTTTCTTGTTCAGTTTTAAAATTTATATTTTGGGGGGGCTGGAGTGATAGCACAGCAGGTAGGGAGTTTGCCTTGCACGTAGCCAACTCAGGTTCGATTCCCAGCATCCCACATGGTCCCCTGAGCACTGCCAGGAGTAATTCCTGAGTGCATGAGCCAGGAGTAACCCCTGAGCATCGCCGGGTGTGACCCAAAAAAGCAAAAAAAATATTACATTTTTTGGGGAAAGGGGGAGGAGCACACCCAGTGATGCTCAGGTACCATGCAGTGTTGGGGATCAAACCGGGCCTCCCACATGTAGATCATGTCTCAGGTCACTGAGCTATCTCTCCAGTATCTCTGATAGTTTCTTTCCATTAGTTACTATTTCTTTGATAAAATTATCATTCTTGCCTTCATTATGATTATTTTCCTTTAATCATTTGGCTGTATTTATTATAACTGTTTTAAAACTTTTGTTTATGAATATAGATCTGTATCAATATTGGGGTTTATTTCTTTTGGCTTTGTTCCACATTTTCCTATACTACTAGTCACTTTTTATTATAAAGTACAGTATTTGCACCTCTTTGCAGAAATTCTGGTTTCTGTTATCTTTTTCTGAAGATTTTTGAATTGGCAGGACTCATGCTAGTTCATAGCTCTGTGGTGAGCAATGACTAAAATTTCTTCTCAACTTTTCAACCTTGTAGTTACGGCTCCACATGCTTTTGCTTTCTCTTGGGTTCCTCGATGTCCCCCCCACTGGCCCCCCAGCAAATCTGTAGTTCAGAGATAGTTGTATTTGAATAGTTAGTATCTAGATTATTTTATTTCTTCACTATAGTCCCTTCATATTTTGATTTTCCTTCTCCACTGCCAAGGTTTATAGTCAGGTTGTTTTCTGTTTGTTTCTGTTTCTGTACTGCGTGTGGAACGCCTCCAGGGTAGGAGGCAAACCAGCTGACCACTCAGGGAGGCCATGCTCTGACTGACTGCGGCAGCTCTAGTTTTTTTTTTCTGACTCTTTTACACATTTGCAGAACTGTTTTTAAATCTAGTGCAGAGATTCAAGTTACTAAATGCAAGAGTGCTAGTCCAGATTTCCAGCTATTTTGCCAATCCGTATGGAAGCATCCATTTGTGTTTCAGAGAGACTCAGAAACCAAGTGCCACTTCTGTCTAGAGTTTCCTCTGGGGTGGGCTTCACTGAAAGACTGACAAAATTCAGGATCTTTGTTGGTGGATGAGTATATAATCTTAAAAGTGTATGTTCATAGGTCTTCCTTTCCCAGATGGGTTGGTTCTTTCTGTCTGGCTTGAGGTATGATAGAAACAGCCCCCTCCCACCCCACCTCCAGTATTCTGAGAGCCTTAATGGGACTGAAAGCCTGTTTATTATGTTAAGTTTCATAAAGTTCTTTTTTCAATATGGGTTCAATGGTTCTTGTGATCTAAAACAAGTGTCACGTTTGTTACACATTTTTTTTGAAGATAGAAATCTACAATCTTTTCCAAGGGTTTGGGAAGAATGTTTTCTGAGTTTCAGTGGCAGAAGAAAAAATGTAGGGACCTGAATGTAGCATAGAAATCCATCAACTCAATGAGTTGTTCTCTGTTCCACCCATACAAATATTTGGTACCCTAATAGAGTGAAACGTTTCTGGAATTCCATATCAATAAATTTCTTATTGATTTTTCCCACTGAAAATCTGGGTTTCAGTCCTATCCAGTATGAGTAGTTGTTTGTTCATCTACAAACCTAAGATTTAGTTGGTGTTATTCCTCCCTTTCTTTTGTGGATATACGCCTTTATTTTTTGGTCATTTTACATGACTTTTTATTTTTAGGGAGAGAAGATAAATTGTGTGGATTCAATTCCTATTGAATTTTTAAAATAATATTTATTTTCATGTTTTTATTAATTAGAAAATTTATTTTTTAATAGTCTTTTTTCCCCTTGTCTTCCTCCTCCTCCCCTTTCCTGTTTCCTCCTCCTTGCCCTTGCCTGTTTTGGTGTTGTAGTGGCTGGCAGTCTCACACACTTTGGCTGCAGTGCTTAGCAGAGCTAAGGTTGTTCACTTTCTTGTGATCTTCAGCAGGCATAAAAAATTACTTGTGGTGGGGATGGAGAGCTACTCAGAAGGTAAGGCTCCTGCCTTGCTGGACACCAGTTGGATTCCACACCCAGTACTCTCTGGGAGTAAGCCCTTGTGCAGAGCCAGGAATGAGGCCTGAACATAGGAGGTGTGTCCCCACCTCCCCCGACACCTCCTCCGGCGGACACACACAGGCACAAAATGACGTTTGGTTGAGGTGCTTGCTGAGTTTGCATTGTGTAGCTGTCATGTGCCAGAGATCACACCTTCTCATGGCTCTGGGGATCTTAGCTGTAGTACTCTGGGAACCGCCACAGATCAAACTCAAGGCTCTACCTAGGAGCTTTTCTGAGGCTCTTCCTCTTGTATTTTTAAATAAAAATAAATTGCATCTATTAAACCAAATACCTTAGTTTTAAGCTAACATTGATACGGCATTTACAAAAGGCAGGTATGCAAAGCATAGCTGTGAAATGATTAAACCAATGTTGAATGCAAACATAACTGTACGGTTACGCCCCACACGGAAGTGGTGCATGTAGAGCTCCTCTTCTTTTTGCGGACAGGAGGGAAGAAGGCTGACCATCCCTCTCAGTGCAGAGACTCGCTGTGCTCTCCACAGGCCAGACTCACAGGCAGGGCCTGTCTCAGAGAAGGTGAAGAAAGCCGGCAGGCGCTGGCTTCCTGTCCTGCTCTCCAGTCACTGCAATTCACCTGAAGTTTGTTTCCTGAGAACTGAAATTTACTTTAGAAAACTTTACTGGCTTACTTTCCCATGAACTCGATTTTCTAACATAAAGATTAATGAATTCTTTTTTCCAGAAAATGGCAAATCATGAGCATTTTCCAATCTTATACCAGATAATTTGTCTCTTAACTGACTTGGTATATTGGTATGGATCTTTATAGACATGGTCCCTCTCTCTCTGACTCTTGTCTCTTTCACCTTTCCTTCCTTTTTTCTTTCTTTCTTGCTTGCTTTCTTATTCTTTGTAAATGGAACATGTGATCAATTTATTCAGGTACTAGTAAGGAAGAGTTGTGATTTATCCTCATTTTTCAATAAACTCGGGATACTGTTACAAATTGGTTCAGTGAGGGGGATAGTCACTAAAATATCAGGAATAGGCTTAAGAGCAAGAGACGAACCAGTGAAATAGAACAATATTGGACTGTGTTTCCTGAGGCTTTGGAGAAGGGGAACTTACTAAGGAGGAGGTTCAGGGCAAGTCCCAGGTTGGAAATGGCCCGGCTGCGCCACCAGCTAGTCCTTAGAGAGGCGGCGGGAGGCGGATGGGCAGCCCGTGTCTCGGCGGGGGAAGAAGCCGGCCTGCCGTAGGCTGTCCTCGGGCTGCCCCCGGCCCGGAGAACTGACCGCAGCGGTACCGGCCTGCGGGAGCGCGGGGGACAACCCGCACCGTGCCCTTCCCGCCGGGCCTGCGCGCAAAGGTGAGTCAGGCCAACGTGGCGCCCCCAGGCAGCTGCCCGGCGCCGGGCACGGGGACCGGTGGGCGCGCGCGGCGGCGCTGGACACGGGGGCACCTGCGCCCCGAGCCGCATCCCCGCCCCCGCCGCCGCCGCTGCATCCGGAGCCGCGGGGCCGGGGGAGGCGCCGCCTGGAGCGCCGCGCTCGCCCGCAGCAACCCCGCCTTCCGCGCCCGCCCCGCACGTTCGACCGCCCCGGCTGGGCTCTGAACTGCGCTCGCGGCGCGGCGGGTGCGTCGGCGCGGCCGGGCATCCCTCGGCCGGAGCGTCCCGGTGCGCGCGGCCCGGGCATCCCTGGGCGGGTGCATCCCGGTGCGCGCGGCCCGGGCATCCCTCGGCCGAAGCGTCCCGGTGCGCGCGGCCCGGGCATCCCTCGGCGGGTGCGTCCCGGTGCGCGGGGCCGGCATCCCTCGGCGGGTGCGTCCCAGTGCGCGGGGCCGGCATCCTTCGGCAGGTGCGTGGGCACGGGGCCGGCTGGGCGCTCGCGGCGCGGCGCGGCGCGGCGGGTGCGTTGGCGCGGCCCGGGCGTCCCTCCGGCTCGCGCGTTGGCGGCGGCTCCCGGAGTCCCGCTGCCGAGATGCTCAAAGTCACGGTGCCCTCGTGCTCCGCCGCGACCTGCCCCTCGGCTACCGCCACCGTGTCCCCGGCCCCCGCCGGCCCCGTCGCCGATTACTGGATAGACGGCTCCAACCGGGACGCGCTCAGCGATTTCTTCGAGGTGGAGGCGGAGCTGGGACGGTAAGGCGGGGGTTGGGGGGGGTGGGTGGGGGACGCCGGACTCTGTCCACGGGCACAACGGGCTTCCGCGCCCAGGGACCCCCGCGACCGGCCGCTCCCTCCCCCATTGCCTCCTCTTTTCCTTCCTCCATTTCCTCATCTTCCTCCTCTTTCTTCCCCTCTTCCTTCTCCTCCTCACCGCCCTTCTCTTCTTCCTCCTCCTCCTCTTCCTCATCTTCATTTTCCTCCCTTCCTCCTCTTCATCTTCCTCTTCCTCCTCCTCATCTTTATTTTCCTCGCTTTCATCTTCTCATCTACATCTCCCTTCTCTTCCTCCTCATCTACATCTTCCTCCTCCACTTCCTCCTCATCTTCATTTTCCTCCTCTTTTCACCTTCCCCTTCTCTTCCTCCTCTTTTTCCTCTCCGGTGCTCCTCTGCTGAGCCCCTGTGCAAGAGGGTCCCTATCCAGGTGTCTGCTCCTAGCCCCTGGCTCTCCAGGTCCTCTTGGTCTGGTTTGTTGGGCTCCTGGAATTCAGGGTGGAACTAGCTGGTCGCATGGGGCAGAGCAAGTGGCGCTAGCAATGAAACTTCAATAGCAGCTTCCTTGAAGTAGGCTGAGGAGGGGATGAATCATTTAAGAGAGTTGAAAGAGTGGGGGGGGGGGGCGGGGGAGAGACAGAGTGAGAGAGAGATACAGAAAGCAAGAGACAGAGAGAAAGACTGAGCAAAAGAGACAGAGACTGAGCAAGAGATAGAGACAGAGAGACAGAGAGACAGAGAGAGACAGAGAGACAGAGAGAGAGAGAGAAAGAAAGAAAGAAAGAGAGAGAGACCCAGAGAGAGACCGCACTGGTGACCAGTGAGAAGACTACTGCTGTCCCTGTGTGCGGGTGACCTGTTCAGATCCTGGAAGCATAAGGCTGTTTTCCTAGGGTTGCAGATAATCGTCTCTCTCCTTCGAGGTAGCAGAGGAGGCAAAAAAGCCAGGGAGCATTGTTACCAGGAAAATGATGCCATATGTTCTCGTATTTTTTATCTGCTGGAAACAATTTTTCTTTCTTTTTCTTCCTTTCCTGTTTGTACCTCTATGGTGTGCAAGGGGACTTATTTTCAATACTGGTTTCAACCCCCTTTATAGATCAGATGCAGTTCCAACTGCTGGCAGCCAAAGCTTTTGTGTGATTCCATTTCCCATTGTGCCTTGCTGGAGAGTAACTAGCAGCCGTGCTGGTGTTTCTTGAGAGGTGCAGGCCTGCCCTGCCTCAGTTTGCCACTTCTCCTGCAGATAGGAAGTAGGTAAGACAGGCAGAACTTCTGAAAAAAATTTTAGCAGATTGCCATTATTTCAAGTTGTTTAGAAATATGCATTTGCTGAATAAAGTCTACATAAGCATTTGGTTTTTACCCATTTTTTGATGTCTATCTGGGGATTTGCTGATGTCAGTCCTTGCTAGTAGGCAGCATTCAATCCATGACTTGTGTAGGATTTGAACCCTGCAATGATTGTATAATGTAATGGAGCTTAACTTCTGATAAACTTCTGATTCACATGTTCAGAAATGGTTACTTGGTGCTTCAGAAACTGCCACCTACAAGAGGAAGTGCCTGCTAGTGTTTTGGGGACTGTCCCCACACCAAATCTAACTGCTTTCTCAGCAACATTTACCCCAGATGTCATGAACTGGGTCGCAGTCATTAGCACTCAGTCTTCAGCATCAGGATATTTAAGAATTTCCTTTAATATAGGGTTATAAGGCATGGGGATATGGGAGAAAAAACTCCTGCCATGTAATGTTGGTAGGAAAAGGAAAATAACTTTAAAATAATATGCATGTGTAGGATAGGACTGGGCATGTGGCTCAGGGTTTTGCATGTGATGCCCTGGGTTTGATCCCAGGCACGGTAAAAAACCAAAAAAATAAAAATAAAAATAAAAATAAAAAAATATATAAGATGGTAAAATTCAAAGTGGGAAACCTAAGGAATTTGAAGTTTATTTTAAAAACAAAGCTTGGAGTTATATCTTGCAAGACATGTAACTCCAAACTCTTAATCTGCTCTCTTGTCATCTGATTACCTTAAAAGTCAAGGACATTTATTTTGACAAAATGCTAACATTTTATACTTCTCTGTTTTTTCCATTTTTCACATATATTAAGTAAATTCGCTATAGGTGGCAGTGTTGGTGAAGTGCATGCTTAGAGTTCAGAGGAGAAATATCACTTCATATCAGCCATTATTTTTTTCTGCAGAGTTAACTAAAACATAAAGCAAACAGTGTTGCAGATACAGTAACTAAGATTTTATAAAATCAGAGAATGCAATAAAATTATAATTGTAGGCAATTGACTGAGTGACAAAACCCCTGTCCTTTCTTGAACTAGTGAAAAAAATGAGCCTAAATCAATCAACTTCAGGACTTTACCCAACCAGGAAAGAATTTGTCTGCAAATACAAAACAGTTAATTCTTGGCAGTAACATAATTGTCATTAAGATACACTCAAAGTATAAGTCTTGGTGTTGGGGGGCCATGGTGGCTAGTTCCATGGTGTCGACAATCCCCTTTAGATTAAATGAATTGTGAGCAGTCAACATGCTATAAACCAGTGTCTCCTGGTTTCAAGATGTTCTAATTTGGGGTTTTTAGGGCAGTGTTTGGGAATCTCAGAACTCAGTTCCCAAGACTATGGCTGCTGATAGCACTGATTCATAGGTACCTACAGAGAGGCAAAAGTGAAACTGTTTTCTTGAGGGTGGGGAAGAAGTTGGAGATGGGCATGAGGATGTTCTTTAACAGTTCTAGGAAATTTGATTTTTCTAAAACTGCATTTTGAAAATAACTGTTCATAGTTTTCCAGAGAGTTTCAAAACTCATGACACACAACAAAATTCGTTCTTACTTGAAGCTGCAGTGGCCGAGATCATTTGGGGTGTTACGTCCTTGAGGGCTGCTGGTTCTTTGTCCAGTGTTGGGAGAGACGCTGTGGTAAGGCTTGGTTAAGGTTAGAAGTGCCTACCCCATGTAGGGAGAGGTTGACTGCTCTGCTGGTGGTGGTGGGGGGGGGGGGGGTGGAGGGGTGGGGGGGGAGCTCAGCTCTCAGGGAAGCCCAGAGTTAGGTTTCAGTTCTTCCCTATCTTGTGTACAAGAGTTAAAGAATTTATGAAAAGAAAGATGGCTACTGAACATGCAAACTAAGGGACACCATAGGAAAAATAATCATAACAAAAGAAGTATGTGTTGTTGTTTAGAATCATTCATTTTAAAATAAATATTCTTATAATTACTTTATTAACTCACTATCCAGGCCTATCTCCTAATCTTATTCTCCTCAATAATAAAAGAAGAACTTGCAGAGGCATATTTATTTTGTAAACTAAAGTACGTTATTTAAATACTGTGGTTTACACAGTTGTTCTTAATAAAGTTGATAAGGGCTTTCTGGGTTCCAACATCAAGCCCCCCACCAGAGTGGCCCTCCCTCCACCATTTTCCAACCCCCGCCCTCAAGCCTGCCCCCTTAGCAGGTGCACAGAAATTTATTTTATATTGCTTGGAATTAACAAAAATACTCAGTCAAAGAAAATTTGTGCAAAACGTTGTCCCTCACCCCAGGGTTGTTGAGTCTGAGGATTTACTGAGCTGTGTGTTGCTAGGGGTGCCTCCTGTGCTGTTTTGTTGGCTGAGTTTAGATTTCTCTTCTGATCTGGTGCACTCCTGCTGGGCTGTCGGTATCGTGGAGCTTGGAGGTGTAACATGGGGCTGATGAGGTGATCCGACTGTGTGGCTGGGGGCGGCCAGAGTTCTCGGTCTGGACACAGGAGTACTGAAAGCAGCTGAAATCATTCATGGTTTGGTGTCTCTGCACAGAGCTCACATGAAGCAGTGGGGTTGGGTCCCTGGCGTGCCTGCAGCTGGGGCTTTGGCAGGGTGGGGACTCGACTGGCCACCTCTGAGGGTGCCCCAGAGTCTCAGCCCAGTAAGAGGTTGGGGGATGGCTGTGTCCACGAGTTCTAGCTGCTTGCCTGCAGGCAAGCAGCTAGAACTTCCTTGGAGATTTAGTTGTGGGCCAGTTGAGCAGGCTGGTGAGTGAGCCTACTCCGCTCGGGAATATGTTGGGTGGGGAGAGGCAGATTTCTATAATAAGATCCCTTGCTAGATGTGTTATTACTTAGAAGCCAAATGCATTTAGATGGTGAGACATATATATGTATATAGGTATGTATATATGTACATACATACATATATATATACTTTGTATATATATACTTAAATATACATTTCATATACTCAAAACACTTTTCAGGCAGTGTTGATCCTTATTACTAACAATCTACATTATTGTCTGTTTTATTGTTTGATTTCATTAAAAATGTCCCCTGCACATACATGATTTCACACCCCACCAATGTGTCAAGGCTTAGTTGGAAATGTGTCGTTTCAATCATCGATCTGTGTCTATCGGATGAGAACACACCGAAGAGTTCTTGAATTCAGAAATGTCTGGTGGGCATTTGGAAGCAGTGGGATGAGTCGTCACGCCTGCAGCTCTGTAAGGAAGCTGTCTCCTTACTTTGCCTTGAATCATTATGAGTTTCCTTTTTTAAATGTTTTTGGGGAATTCTGCTCTCTCCCTCAGAGTGTCTGCTGCAGTGCAGGGGACTCAGAGGTCTGAGCTGGGGGGCTTCCACTCAGCAGCAGGCCCTGGCAGTGGCCAGCAAGTGCTGCCTTTCAGAGGCCACGGCGCGTCCAGCCGATCCCGTGCACGGAGCAGAAGCCGGCCCCTGCTCCCCCCCTCGGCTACCTCTGCCCCAGCTTCAGGTACCCTTTGGTCCCTTCAGGATGTCCAGATTGGCCCTAGAGCTTCTTGCATGTGCTGCTGGCCACACAGTACATTTAGCAAGTCTCTGAGAAATGCAGTGCTTTAAATTTTTATTGATTTGTATTTTGTGAGAACCTCCATGCAGTGCGTGGTACCCAGTACCACTCCTGGTGGTAAAGCCGTGCTGCAGGGCTGTAG